GCCCCTTTTCAAGCCCCTTGCAAGCCCTTTTCAAGCCCCTTTGCAAGCCCCTTTTCAAGCCCCTTTGCAAGCGCCTTTTCAAGCCCCTTTGAAGCGCGCTTCAAGCCCCTTTGAACTGAACTTGAACCCAGTCAATCCAAGCATGCTCTTCAAGGATCCAAGCATGCTCTAAAAGGGCCTCCTCTCTATCCAAACCTCGTGTTTGTCTTTGAAGAAGGTGAATGGCGAGTTGTACTGAACATCGAAGAACTCGTCGGACTCAACGCCCTCCCCTCCCTTCTCTAGATCCTTCCTCAGAACATCTCCTTGATTGAACACGCTCTCCTCCGAAGGCACCGGGACGAAGCTGGAAAACTTCCTCACAAACACTCTCATCGCAGGCACCCCCTCCACGATCACATCCCTGCTCAGGGGGCTCGGGAACCGCGCATCCGTGTCGTTGCTCAGGAAAACGAGGCAACAACCTCCCCCGCCGCCGATTCACCCGGAATATCACCGGGCGCGTCATAGCGATGTGAATGTGAGCCTGGTTGTTGCCGGATATGTACCTCAGCAAGGCCCTGAACCCCTGCATCTTCGCCTTGGTCAGCCTCGAGTAAAACACGCTCTTCCCCACCGAATTGCAGTCCACGCGGGTTGATGCCCAAACACTGGGCTGGTACTCTCGTTCCTCGTAGTCGGGCTTGATAGAGATCACACGGTAGCTCGGGCAGGACAGCCCCTCACAGTGACTCATGGCTCGGCTTTTTGCTTCAATTTTCAAAACTCCGTCCACAACGAAAGCATATATATGCATCCACACCGCACACCCCCACCACCCCCCCTCCGAAAAACCACCATGCTCAAGCTATCATGGGAAAAGACCAATTACCTCGAAAGGTTCGAATCAGAACGCAGCCAGCTCGCAGAAAACCTCAAGTCCTTGGGCGAGCTCATCACCTATCTCAAGACCGAGCTAAGCAACGAAGGCAGTAACCCACAGCAAATCAATGACATTCAGAAGGACATCGATCAGGCCTCCCAGAGGCTCTCCAACATCAATCAGCTCTACACCACCCTCCAGCGCGAAGAGTACTCCCCCGAACGCGACGCCCTCACACCCCTGTGGTCCCGTGAGCTCCACAAGTTGAACAAGGACTTCATCCTCGTCTTCAAGAACAAGGTTCAGGAGTGGGAAACCAAAAAGACACAGATCATACGCAGGCTCAACTTCAAGACCGCAAAACTCAAGCAGTACCTCGGCGTCGTCCAGAACGCTCAACTCAAGGGCTTCCCGACCAGACCTTGGTCTCCGAGCAGGCAGAGACCGTAGCCGGGATGAAGAACCTCATCGACGAACTCAATCGCGTTCTCTCCCAGGTGCAAAACCGCCCATCCCTCGACTTCCGCAGCCTCCGTCAAATCATCGAAAGCATGAAGGCCTGGGACCGAAAAACCCAGGAGATCCAAGAAGAGGCTGATCGCATCTCCACAACCGTCAACAGGCAGTACCGCCGAAAAACAAACTTGGCCAACACCACCGGCCAATTCCCCTGCTATGCCTGCCACCAGAAGACCCTCGCCATCCTCAAGTCCATATCCCGCATCCTCACCCCCTAACCCGTCGTCCTCCCGTCGATTCTAAACCGTCGCCATCCCGTCGATTCTAAACCGTCGCCATCCCGTCGATTCTAAACCGTCGCCATCCCGTCGATTCTAAACCGTCGCCATCCCGTCGATTCTAAACCGTCGCCATCCCGTCGATTCTAAACCGTCGCCATCCCGTCGATTCTAAACCGTCGCCATCCCATCGATTCTAAACCGTCGCCATCCCGTCGATTCTAAACCGTCGCCATCCCGTCGATTCTAAACCGTCGCCATCCCGTCGATTCTAAACCGTCGCCATCCCGTCGATTCTAAACCGTCGCCATCCCATCGATTCTAAACCGTCGCCATCCCGTCGATTCTAAACCGTCGCCATCCCGTCGATTCTAAACCGTCGCCA